GACTTTCCACCCACTGGCCTGTGATCTTCCTGCATTCAGCATCATTGCATGTGTTGTGTGAATCTGAAGAGGAATTTATAGATTGGTATCTGACATATGGGCTAATATCAGACTTATGGACTTGATCTGGACTGGGCTGGGATGTCTTCTTCATATATAATTGCTCTTTATATAAAGTTCTTTCTTATACACATATGAATGTCTATGAATTTGTTTCGCTAGTTAACCCAGACTAACACCCATCTTAATTGTATGTTTAATCAATTTCAGACTGAAGTTGTTGGTACAATTCATCAGCCACTTCTTCACTAGCTGTTGTGGTTGGTGCACACATTGAAGAGCGGTCGTGTTGACTGGATTTCCTTGAATGGGGGGTCAGGGGGTGGGTAGATGTCATCCTATCACATAGCATTGTGTTTCAAGATCAATCGTGAAATCTCCTTTTTGATCATGAATGCAATGCCATTCCTCAGGATTGTTCTATTCCCAGCATAATAAACCATGATTTTCTGATTCAGATAGCCAATACCAGTCCATCTCAGCTCCCGAATGCCTAGAATATCAACTTTCATGCGTTCCATTGAACTTTTTACAAATTCCAATTTTCTTAGATTGATACTTTACACATGCCAAGCTCCAATTACAAGTGATGTTTGCAGCTGATGAAAGTCCCAAAGGCTCTACTCCGTCCATATCACGATGCTCAGTTAAGTTGAGGAGGCAGCTCTTCCGCAGCCATAGTTTAAGTGCCTTCCAGCCTGAGGGGTCTTCTTCTGCCCTCTCTCCAACAGGGCTGTTTCTTCTCAGGAGGTCTTCAGGAGCCACCAGTGCTTTGATTCTCCCCACAAGGTTTTCAGTGGCCAATTCCCCAGAAGTGGACAGCCTGTTCCTTCTTTGTGGTCTGTCCGTAGTCTGGAGGCTCTGCTGAAGCCTGTTCACATTGGGTGACCCTGCCGGTATTTGCAATACCAGTGATGAAGCTTCCAGCACCACAGCAACACAGAAGCCACCACAATAGGACACAGTGACAGACAAGCGGTTAGATCTTCCTAATTCATATAGACCCCATCCAAGGATGGAAGAGGATGACGTCTTAAAGTCACATCCTTGACACTCAGGTGGAGTCACTCATGCCCAAAAGGAAATGAGGGGGTGGCTTGGTCCACACCTCTACTAAGGTGAGGTCTTAATCCCAGTCTAATCCTGTCTGTTAGTCTAGTGGAGAACTAGACTATAGACATAGATATATAGAATCCAGAAATCTCAGAAAAGTGGGTGAGGGGAGACACTGGTCAGTGTAAGACATAAAAAAATAATGATTTATAAATTATCAGGGGGGAAGGAGGGAGGGAGGGTGGAGGATAGAGGGGAAAAAATGAGAAGCTGATACCAGGGGCTCAAGTCAAAAGCAAATGTTTTAAGAATGATGAGGGTAACAAATGTACAAATGTGCTTGACACAAGGGATGTATGTCTGGATTGTGATAAGAGTTGTATGAGCCTCCAATAAAGTGATTTAAAAAAGAAAGAAAAGAATCCAGAATTCTCATATATCACATGAGGAATTATGGCTAGGAGGGTCATATTAATTGACTATAACCCAGTCAGCACCCTGACAGCCCTCAAATTTACATCTTTCTAGCCCAGACATCTCTTCTGAACTATGAACTCACATATCCTATTCAAAATCTCCCCACGTGGACCTACTAACTGAACCGATGCCGTGGTCATCCCCACCACAGCAACCCTACAGGACAACGCACTAGTGCCCCATAGAGTTTCCAAGGTTGTAAGTCTTGTCTGTCTGTCTGTCTGTCTGTCTGTCTATCTATCTATCTATCTATCTATCTATCTATCTATCTATCTATCAATCTATCAATCTATCTAATCTATCTATCTACCGCGGCAAATCCTTGCAGAAGCAGCCTGCCACGTCTTTCTCCCAAGGAGCAGCAGGTGGTTTCAAACCACCGGCTCTTTGGTGAGCAGCCGAGCACGTGGCCACCACACCACTGGGGCTCCTTGTGGATCTAGTCCAAACAAAGCAAGCTCACTGCCATTGAGTGGACTCCAACTCATAGTAACACGAGAGAGGACAAGGTAGAACTGCCCTTGGGAGTTGCCGAGACTGTAACTCAGGATGGGAGTAGAAAGTCTCATCTTTCTCACTTGCGGATCTCAGGGTATTCCAAATTAAGTATTATATATATATATATATATATTTATTTATTTTTAATGCAGTCGAGTTTCCCACATTTGGGGAAATCGCAGGGGTCAGCACATCCAGAGTGCAATGGATAAGCCTCGCCCTGGGAAAACCACCTTTGTGATCATGGGATCTCCCCTGCCAGGTAAGTATTCAGTATTTTATATTTATTTATTTTGTCTTTCAATCCCCACCCCCAAAATCCATTTTATTAGGACATAATCCAGACATCCCATTCCATAGTTTAGGCCTATCAAGCAGCGTTGTACAATCACTACCACAATCATTTTCCAAACTTGTTCTTCCTTCTTCTATTTTAATAAGAACCGGTGTCCCCAAACGTGCTCCATCTACCTTCATTGCCATCTCAGCAAACGGCAACCGTGTCCTTTCAGGCTACAGACCAGTTCCTTGGTGCTACCTTTCCCCTGGGGTTGGTTTCAAACCCCACGTCTGGCCCATCAGCCAGTTCTCCAAGTCCCTAACCTGCCCTGGTATGTCCTCCCAGGGAGCTGCTGGCTCCTGTGCCCTCCCCTCCCAGCCCTGTTGTCCCCAGGCTTGGGTCTGACGGGAAGACGTGTCAGTCTGTGTGAACTCAGAATCACCCCACGGGAGATGACAGGCAATCTTTTTTTTTACTTTGCTGATGCAATCCTCGGTGCCTGACACATCTCAGATACCTAATGACGATCTGTCGAATGAACGAAAAAAAAACCAAAAAAACATGTCTTGGTGAAAAACAGCCCTCCTGGAATACCACCCAGCAATAAAAAGATCAACTATTGATAAATGCAATGACTTAGATGGATCTCACAGGCATATGCTGAGTGAAAGGAAGCGGGGGCGGGGAGGCACAGGAAAGCCAGTCTCTAAAGGTCACGCAGGATGATTGCATTTATGCTGCACCCTCAAAATGACAAAATCATAGAGATGGAGGACTGATGGGGGGGAGGGACATCGGTTCGGGATGGAAGCTGGACGTGGATGCGGCGTTTCTGTGTCTTGGTGATGGCCGCCTCAGGCATTGAAATACAGCACACAATTCAGGTTGCCGCATAAAATCCAGGCCATCTAGTTAGTTTCAAGGTCACGCAAAACTACAAATGATGGTTAGCGTCAGTATGTCTCAACTTGTTACTGTCGTAGTTGGTCACCAGCAAGCAGACTTGACTCCCGGCGAGCCCCTGTGTACAAGATCGCACAGCTCCGCCGAGTGGTCAAGGCCCTTTTGGAAACAGGTGGTCTGCTTCCACTCGGCTAGGTTGTAGGGGCTCATCGAGTTGGCTCTGAGGCATAGGGACCCGATGTGCTGAACGAAACACTGCCGGTCCTGCGCCATCTCACGATGGTGATGTCTGAGACCACTGCTGCGGCCACTGTGTCAATCCATCTCACCAGGGGCCTTCTTCCTGTTCACGGACCTCTGCCCGTGAGACAGAGTCTGGCCCTCCTTGCCTCTGTGTACTTGCTTCAGGACAGATTCGTGCGTTCTTCTGGCAGCCCGTGGGACTTTCAATATTCTTGGTCAACACCGTCATTCAAATGCACCGATTCTTCTATGGGCCTCCTTATTCAACAGCCAGCTTTCACAGGCCTATGAGACAGTTGAAAGACACCATGGCTTGAGTCCGGGGCACCTTTGCCCTCAAAGTGACTACTGTCCTTTGTGAACACTTCAAACAGATCTTGCTGGGTGGATTTGTCCATACACCATGCCATTGGATTCCTTTCTGTGTGGGCATGGAACCATGCGGCTAGGGTGGACGGAACCCCCAGGAAGGGAGTGGTGCTAGTTTAAAAGTGAGCCATCCCAGAGGTGGGGAGGGGGATCTCACAACCCACCAAGAAAGAGGACACACCCTTTGGACTCGGGATCCCTGTGCTGTGAGCCTCCTAGATCCAGGGACCAGAGAGGGCTGTCAAAGCAGAAAGGGCAAGAGCAGTGAGCAGCTAGGGTGGTCGTGACCAGAGTGAGCCCTGCCCTGGGGCACAGCTGAGAAGACAGTGTCGTGACCAAAGAGTCTTGGCTTGTAACCTGTTGCTTCCTTACAGGACTTCATGATGAACGGAGAGTCGCTAATAGGTAACATCAAATGGCAAAAAGGTTGACGTTGTCAAGGATTCTGTCTTGCTTGGATCCAGAGTTAATGCTCACGGAAGCAGCAGTCAAGAGCTCAAAGGACACGGTGTTACATTGGGTAAATCTGCTGCCCAAGACCTCTTCAGGACTAAGGTGCACCCAGCCCAAGGCCTGGTATTCCCAATCGCCTTCCCTGCGTGTGAAAGTTGGACATTGCATAAAGAAGCCCGAAGAACGGATGCACGGGAATGATGGAGCTGGAGAGGAATATTGAAGGTGCTGCGGACTGCCAAAAGAGCAGACACACACCTGTCCTGGAAGCAGAACAGGCAGCGTGCTCCTTCCAGGCAAGGGTGGGAGACTTCAGCTTATGCTTTGGCCATGTTGTCAGGAGAGACCAGTCCCCGGGGAAGGACATCCTGCTTGGTAAAGTAGCGGAGCCTCAAAAAAGTGGAAGACCCTGGACAAGATCGATGGACACAGTGGGGACACAAATGGAACAATTGTGAGGCTGGCGCAGGGCCAGGCATAGGGTCACTACGGGTCAGAACCAACTCCATAGCCCCTACCAACAACTTCTCTCATAACCTCCGGCCTGAGGGCGGTGTGGTCACCACAACTAAAGGTCACACTCTCTGTTTATCACTGGCGACTCTCCGTGTATCATGATGTCACCTGTAAGGAAGTGACAGGTTACGAGTCAAGAGAAACCCAGGGTGCTGTGGGAATTGGACAGAAGGTTGGAGGGCGGAGGCCCACCTGACTGCCATCTCACAGGGACCACCAGCCGTGGGCTCTTTCTCTTGAGCCCTTGCCCCCTCCCCTGTCCCGGGTGAAGTTAGCGGTGGGAAGGCGCCCTGCTCTGGGCTGGGCGGCAGCCTGGGATGAGATAATCATTACAAAACAGAATGTTCTTAAAAACGGCCCTCGGGAGAAAGCCAACCGCTCTGGTCGGCCATGAACAGGCAAAGGAAAGTGCTGGCTATTAAGCTTATGGTGGACGGTGAAGCACACTGTACCAAGGTCCTGTGCGGTCTCTCTCTCCAGTGCTAATCACTGATTGCCGTTATTGGCAGTGCCCCACAATGGTTCTGAGCATGGCCTTGGGAACCAGACAGACCGGACTCAAATACAGGCTCTCCTGTGTGTAAACCCAGCGGCCCGATTTGCAAGGCTGTGCTGTGTCCGCTCACACGCCTGTCCTCCCAACGCCCTCACTCAGTGACGTCCCCCTGGCAGTGTTTACACTACAGAGATTGGCAGACACTACCAATCAGCACTCCCTGCCGTCGAGTCAGTTCGGACTCAAAGCAACCCTACAGGACAGGGTAGGACTGGCCCTGCGGGTTTCCCAGACTGTAATTCCTAATGGGAGTAGAAAGCTCATCTTTCTCCTCAGGAGTTGCTGGTGGTTTCAAACCGCTGACCTCGCCATTACCAGCCCAATGCGTAACCAGTGCGCCAGTAGGGCTCCTACACTACAAAGCAAGCCGGGCCCTTTTAATTTTGTTTTCACTTTTGCTGCCACACCACTGACTTTGTGCCTCAGTTTCCTCCTCTGCCCAATGGGAACGATGACCTCAAAGCCTTAGGACGCTGCAAAGATAGTGCTCGCGGAACACTTGTTCCATGGTACATGGTGTCCAGGAGCCCCCCTGGTGCCTTGGTTGACCGCTTGGCTGCAGGCCCACCAGCTACCGTGGCCACCTGCTTCTGTCAAGAAAGCAGCCTTGGCAGCCCGGGGGAATGTTCTAACCTGCCCAGCAGGACTGACCGTTCTGACTCTGCAGTTGGGACTCTGCAGTTGCCCGTTTGGTTTTCTGGCTCATCCCAGTGGAGCCTCCAGTCAGAGATGGACGAGGAAGAAGGGCTCCTGAAAACCCATCGGAGGACGTGCTAGGGACCCCCGGGGTCAGCGCCTCAGCCAGTAGGGATGTTGGGAGATCAGGCAGGGTTTCATTCCTTGCCCTTGTGCAAGGGACCACCGTGAGCTGGGGACCTACTGGGTGGAGGGGAAGAATAACAAGCAGAAACATGAGCTAGGATCGCGTGCTCAGGAACTTGCAGGTCCCACCCACGAGGCTAAATGAACACACAATAGTAACTTGGGAGAAGGCACCTGTAGAACATCTGCATCGTAGGGGAGGCTTTCCGGAAGGGCTTCTCCATCTTTCAGGAGCCCTGGTGGCATCCAGGGGTATAACCAGTTGGGCTGCTAACCACAGAGTCAGCAGATTGAACCCAGCAGCTGCTCGCAGGGAGAAAGAGGAGGCTTTCTGCTTCCAGATAGATTCCCAGCCTGGGAAACCCACAGGGGCAGTTCTACCCTCTCCTACACGGTCTCTGTGAGTCAGAATTGCCCGGATGGCAGTGAGGCTGGGTGCTTTTTTTCTCTGTGTCTTGAATGATGGGGATTTTCAGGCTGAGCCAGGCTACCTGGGAGGTCCAGGGTACTCTGCTCACAGGGGAGTAGTGGGGGGGTTTGAGGCCTGGCCTGAGCCTCCTAGGAAGACGGCTGCTCCTGCCTCGCTGTCCCAGGGGCCGGGGACCCATCTCACTGTCCTTCCTCCAGGCATCTGGCTGGGGTATTCCAGGTCCGAGGCCAAGCTCGTCGGACCGGAGGTCATGTAATCCTGGCTGGATTTGTCCTGTTGATTTTAGTGATGAGAGCTGTGCTCTCTGAGTTTGTATTTCTAGGGCTGCCTGCTCATTTGGCTTCCTTTTTATTTACTCTTTGAAAGCACTTGGCTTTGAGTAAATATGTCTATAAAGTTTCAGGGACTGGGTTACGCTGTGTCTGGTATTTTAATGGCCTTTAAACAGTGTCTGTCTGCTCGGGTAAGCAGTTAGAGATGGGTGGACAAGATGGGGCCTTCTGTGATTCAGCGGCCCCTGACTCCTGCCAAGCCGACAGCTTTTCGTCTGCAATTAAAATATCAAACGTCAAAGCCCTTGGAGATCAGAGACCCCACCCACTCACCACCACCCACTGTTCATCCAGACCTGGGGGCTGGGGAGCTGGTGGAGTTTAATTCGAAGCCAGTGCTTAGGCTAAGATTTACGCAGGTGCTTG